TACCTTTTATTGTAGTTATTTTATTTATTTTATTAATTAGACTTCTATATCGCTTCATAGGGCTTTCAGCCCTCTCTAAGCGGTTTACAGAGTCAGCAAATTGCCCCCACAGTTCTGGGTCCTCATTTCACCCACCTCGGAAGGATGGAAGGCTGAGTCGACCTTGAGCCGGTGAGATTTGAACCGCTGAACTGCAGATCACAGTCAGCTGAAGTGGCCTGCAGTACTGCACCCTATCCACTGGGCCACCTCGGTCTTCCTCTTCCTAAGCCTTAACTTCACAGTCTCTTTAAACGATCTGTATCATGGGTTATCCTCTGTGTGTAATGACTCCATATGAATCAGTGGTTAAATCTAAAAATATTTCCTACTGATTCTGTGGGGTGAGGTTTGGTGGTGGTGGGTCGTGTGACTGGGTGGGCGTGGCTATGTAGTCATGTGACCGGCGGAGTCAAAAGACAGAAACTCACTTTAACAATGTCCTGCTGGAGCAGGGGGTTGGACTAGATGACCTCCAGGTCCCTTCCAGCTCTGGATTGTTGTGCTATTTCAAGGTATCTTCTGAAGCTGCATCTAGTGCCAAATTTGTGGTCCTTCCTCCCTCTCCTTTTTTTCTCCCTTCCTCCCTCTCTTTCGCAGCACCCTCACCCCCCCCCCCTGCTTTTTAAAGCATTTCCCCCCTGCCTATTAGCCCGAACTGGCAGGGAAAAAATGCTTTAAAAAGAAGGGGGTGGGGAGGAATCTTCTGACGATCGCCTGGTTCACAGCTGAACTGTGCGATCCGCAGATGCTTTATTTTTTACTACTGGTTCATAGAACCAGGACAATTGTCCCTACCGGTTCAGCCAAACCGGGTTGAACCTGGAGGATTTCACCCCTGATATGAATACCTTGCAGAAATGGGGCATGGAATTTTGCATGTCAAAGTTCCTATATAAACATCCCATCTTTCTGTATTTCCAACATCCACAGCTAAGCATCTAGGCAGGGATCTCCAAACCTGCAACGTTAAGACTTGCGGACTTCAACTCCCAGAATTCCCCTAGCCAGCTTAAAATTGCCAACTTTGGAGACCCCTGATCTAGGGTGAATAAGAACTGTGGAAAAAACTCCAGCACAAGATCTTGGAGAGCTGCTAGTAGAAGTAGCCAATGTAATTAGGTTTAATGTAAGATTCCTTTTCTCGGTGATTTCCAGCGACTGTTCTGCACACACTGACATTTTGCTGAATAGTCTGGCCAGCTGAAACCATTCTTCAACTGCAGTGAAGGAGGCTATATTTTAATTCAACAGAATCAGATCACAGAAGGTCTGGGATGCAATGAAAAAACAGAGCACCTCGTCTGCTTCATTAAAAATTCAAAGCAAAGTATTTATGCAGGTGGATGACTTGGCAAGGCTCAGTGCAAGCAACTAAAATTTGATTCCTATGCTGATTAGTCTTTTTACTGGCATTATTAGTTTGCATAGCCCTTTTGAGTCCACTGAAATCCAAATTTCCCCCTAAAATGGCTTTGGACACGATGCAGCCCTCGTAATTCATGCCTTTTCTGTTTCAGTTCAGTTCAGTTTATTAAATTTATATGCCGCCCTTTTCCCCCGAAGGGGACTCATGGCTGCCTAAATCTCATCCAGAACAGATTTCTACTCCTCCCAGGGCGAAATGGGCAAATTCCTTATCTGTGTATAGGGTAGAATATATTAAATAAATCTCTTTCAGATAAGATAAACAGGAAGTGGAGGATTTTCGGTTGTCAATCACATGCTCAGCGATCCATTTTGTATAATTTATTTTCCCAGAAAACCAGGATCCATATTATGGATCTAATAACTGTGCACTAACTAAATACTAAACCTTGTTTATGGAACAGATGCTAGTAATTAAAATGCAACTCTTTTTTTTTAAACGAACAATGCAGCTTGTTTGATGTGAGCCTTTAAGTAAAATAGGACATTCCTCTGATCGATACTTAATGCAACAAAAATAGAAATGATTTGCAAGGCATAATGGAAACTACATAAAAAAACCTCTTTATATAAACATGAATATACATACAGTACTAAATGCACCCATCTGGTTGATGATCTTAACTGGGGTTTATTTTGGGGGGGTAGGGCTTATATTACGAGCATCCTGAAAAATCATGCTAGGACTTATTTTCCGGTTTGGTCTTACTTTGGGGAAAGCAGCCAATAGGAATTGGACTGCTGAACATGCTGCCCTCACCACCGTCACCTCTGAGCTATCAAAATCATGTGAAATGGCAACGTTTGTACTTGGAAAAGATGGAAATAGGCCAGTGGTGAAATTCAATTATTTTTTACTACCAGTTCTGTGGGCGTGGCAGGGGAAGGATACTGTAAAATCCCCATTCCCTCCCCACTCTTGGGGGAAGGATATTGCAAAATCTCCATTCCCCACCCCACTCTGGGGCCAGTTAGAGGTGGTATTTACTGGTTCTCCGAATTACTTAAAATTTCCGCTACCGGTTCTCCAGAACCTATCAAAACCAGCTGAATTTCACCCCTGAAATAGGGCAAAACATACAGACTTAGTTGGCCTCCAACTCTGGATGAGGAATAAGATGGAGGCAGCCCATCAGCCCAACTCCTTAAAGAACAGTTAGCCAAGAATCTCTGGCTTACAGCCGTCAATTAATTAATCGGATCTTTATTCCTCCTATCTCACCTAAGACAGCCAGTTTGATCTAATGGTTAAGATGCTAGGTAGAAAGCAAGAGACCATGAGTTCAGCTCCTGCCTCAGCTATGAAAGCCATCTAAGTAATATTGGGCCAGTTATTCTCTCTCCATCCAACTCACCTCACACGGTTGTTATTGAGAGGAAAGTAGGAGAAAGAAAATGTGTTGTATATGTTCGCTGCTTTGAGTTATAAAATAATAAAGACGGGAAACCAACAAATAAATAAATAACAAGGATGTTTGGATAAACCTTTAGAAAAAAAAATCTAAGTGTTTCACTTTCTAACTCATAAAATTTTTAATTACAACTGGAAGTGTGAAACTGAACTTAAGCCTAGTCACTCATATTTAAAATTGTGTTTCTAAACTAACTTGGACCCAGATTCCTTTTTAGAATGCTCAAAATTCTCTGTTCAAGACAGTACCGTGTTTGCCGAATATAAGACAGGGTCTTATTTTCTTTTGACCCTGAAATAAGCACTTGGCCTTATTATTATTATTTTTGAGGGGCAGGAGGCAGTGAGTGAGGTCACCTCATGGCTGCTGCTGTGTTGTACTATTTTCGGGGAGGGCTTATTTTAGTGCATGCGCTCAAAAGCCCGATTGGGCTTATTATCTGGGGAGGTCTTATTTTCGGGAAAACAGGGTAATTCCACTTCCTTGATAGACCAACTACATGGAACATTCACATAGAACTGGGACAGGGAAAAAGAAGTAATAGCTGCCACAGCATGAATTATGCAGATGATATTTATATTATTTAAAGTCTTCCTGCTTTATAATTCAGTGAAATATCTTTCCAGTGTCTGAAAATCTGCAGCAGCTTTGGGGAAATTGTAACATATGCTACAGCACAAGGAAAACAAGACTCTATTGAACTTGGATGAATATGCTTCATACGATATCACAAAATGCATGAAGTTTATTGCAGACATTGTGCGCACTTGGTGTCAGGATAAGATGCTGCCTGGTGCTGAGAAGACAACATTGAGACAGACAACAGCCAGTGGGTACAGTATTTGAAGGAGTGGGGCGACCTAAATTCAAGGCCCCCTTCACCTACGGATGCTCATGGTGCTTCTGCACCAATCAACAACCTATCTGGGAAGGTTAAAGTAGGTCAGGGGTGTCAAACTCAATTTCATTGAAGCCCACATCAGGGTTGTGTTTGGCATGGCTAGGGTGGGTGTGGCCAGCTTGATGTCATTCGTGTCAGGGGCGCCTGTGGCAATCCAAGTGCCCTGCTAGTGAAAACAGGCTCATCAGCTCCGTTTTCGGCTGGGATGGTCTCTTGCAATCCTCTGCCAGTAAAAACAGAGCTTGGGAGGGTCACACGCGGCCGTTATGAGCTCTGTTTTCATTGGCAGAGGCACCGCAGGCTGGCCCTTTGCTATTTCCAGGGCAGCCCTGCGGGCCAGATCTAAGTACCCTGCAGGCCGGATCCACCTACGGGCTTTGAGTTTAACATCCCTGATGTAGGTGGAAAAAAAAAGGACAGAATATTATGTAAATTGCCTTGAGCTAGTGTACAAAGAAGATATAAATCTAATAAAGAAACAAACAAACAAAATATTTAATACCAAGTGCTGTGCTAAAATCTTTTTCAAGTGCAGTCCACCTTTATTTATCTTAAAGAGTAGCAGGGAGAAAGAGTTTAGGGGACATCCACAAAGTAACCAAAAGCTACAATGCAATTACGGTAATCCTGTTTGCCAGTTGGTGCAGTGAGGCTGAAGACTGAGATAGAACCAAGCCACGACAAGTATTGACACCCTAGAAATTAAATTAAGAGGATTCTTTCTTAAATACCTTCCATAATTGGATTATGGCCAGGTAACGGTAAAGGTTCCCCTTGCACATATGTGCTAGTCGTTCCCAACTCTAGGGGACAGTGCTCATCTCCATTTCAAAGCTGAAGAGCCACCGCTGTCAGAAGACATCTCCGTGGTCATGTGGACGGCATGACTAAACACCGAAGGCGCTGTTACCTTCCCACCAAAGGTGGTTCCTATTTTTCTACTTGCATTTTTAATGTGCTTTGGAACTGCTAGGTTGACAGAAGCTGGGACAAGTAATGGGAGCTCACTCTGTTATGTGGCGCTAGGGATTCGAACCGCCGAACTGAAGACCTTTCTGATTGACAAGCTCAGCTATTGAGCCACAGCGTCACTGAGTCACTAAGCCACTGTGGATTATGGACAAAAAAGGTGCAAAAAACCTCACTTCTCTGGAGTACATATTCACCTCTAGCCTATCAGTATTGTAGAGTCATTGTAATTTTCAAACACACACTCAGTTAACATTATAATTTTATCCACATATACAAAATTCACTGGATACAGAAAGCTAACACATTGGTAGTATAGGTTCACTCTGAATGCTCAGATATGGTGCTTCTGTTGAGAAAGAGCTTTAATGCCTACTTATATTATTTACTAGAGACTACCTAGAATTAGATAGTCAGAGTTACTGTATTTTTCGGAGTATAAGGCGCACTGGAGCAAAAGACGCAGCAAGGTTTTGAAGAGAAAATTTAAAAAAAAAAGTTTTTGCACTCTGCAAACCTCCCCAAAACAGCCCATTTTTCACGAAAATGGGCCCATTTCCCCCCCCTCAAAAAGGCCATGAATAGCCCTTAGGAGGCTTGTAGAGTGCTCCTGGGGGGTGGGGGCAAAAAACAAGCAAAAACTGGTCCATTTTTCACAAAAACAGGGCCGTTTTTTGTCAAAAAAAATGGATAGCCTTTAGAAAGAGTGCTGCTGGGATCTGGGTGGGCAAAACGTACCGTTTTTTGTTCATTTCTGCCCTCCCCAGCCCCCAGGAGCTCTCTGAAAGCCTCCTAAAGGCTATGCATGGCCATTTTGGTGAAGGGGCAGAGTTTTGGGAGGCAAAAAATGCTGTATTCAGTGTATAAGACCCACCCAGATTTTCAGCCTCTTTTTTGAGGGAAAAAGGTGTGTCTTATACTCTGAAAAATACAGTTGATGGATATCTGCTTATAGACTGTAAATGTTACACTGTTGAACTGTTTCATGATAAATTGAAGAATGATTTCATGAAGGGTTTTTAAATATTCAGAATATCACAAAACCTGCACTTTCTGACATCTGGTAAAAGTGAACATAATTTTTTTTGTTTTTTTCTTTAAAATATCAGGTGGGAAAATGTTGATTACCTTTATCAAGAGATGCTCCCGCCATGTGGTAGAAACTTAAAGCTGTATCAACATCATTTATGTTTTTCAGGAACGTAAAGAAATTTTCTACTTCCTCAAATGTTAGTCCCTGCAGTGAAGATAAAGAAAACAACATATTTAAAGGGGAAAATATAAGTAGAAAACAAGAATGCTGTCAATGTATAAATTCACACAATTTCATATTTGCAATCCATTTTTGACTTAGCTATCTTTTCCTGGTATATGAATCCGGCCTATTTCTCTGGGATAAACATCATCATTACTATAATAATATAATCAGCTTCACTTTAGCTAAAATGTTAGCCAATTTTACCAATTCATGAGATCAATTCAAATGGCCTCTTGTTTTTAGCAATGGAGGAAACAAATATCTTTATTCCTCTAGAAATTTAGAAATATTTAGCTGTCAACTTATTGTATGTCAAAGCATTTACAAATTGAACTATGAACTAGCATGCTTCTTACCTGCTGTTCCTAATTTCTAAAGTATGGTTGGATGCTTATGCAGTTATTTATTTTATATTAGCTGATAACCCAGCATTGCCCGGGTATTTATTTATAGGGGGAAAATGTCGGGACCAAACCTAATTTCTAATGTTGGATTTTCCTCCTTACTAGAGGGAGCTCCCTTGTGGAGTACTGTGAAACCATTACCATGGCAACTCCACTGCGCTGCACAGTAGAAGCCATTTTACGGTAATACAATAGAAGCCATTTAAAAGAACAACAGGCTGCATCTTAACAGAACACACCTGCTGAGGGGAGTTAGAGATGTCTTACCCCCACTGTATTTTTCCTGTTTGGTAAACGTTTTCACATCTACTAACATCACTTGCAGCTTTACGCTTTCACATACTATACAGAAGGTATTTACTACAGTAGGATCCATTTTATACTACATTTGCCAGAAGTGCCTATTCTAGGAATAAAAACTACAAAAATGTGCATTTTTAATGCCAAGGATGCCTGCCACCTGCCTGAGGAAAAGAATAGTGGCGCCAAAATAGGAGTATCTAAAAATGAAAATGACAAAGTGCAAATAGGTAAAAAAATAATGAAAAACAAATTAGTAAGCCAAACAGAAGTAACATTTTAAATGACTCATTTGATTTTGCTGGATAGAACAGAAAACCAATTTCCCAGTTTGTAATCAATTTGCCACATACAGCTATACTATAGTACGTTGCTTGCAAGATTAAATTATGCTAAAAATGGAATAGGCAGGTTTAACACAAAACACATTTGCTACACATATTCTTGTGGAACAGCTGAGTGGTAAGAAATACTGTTTGTTTTTTTTCAAGGAGGAAAAAAATCCGGCCAAAAGCAGGAATAATTAAGTCTGAATTTCAGCAAGCAGGTTCCGCAGTAGTTGATTTGTCTAGTTTAATTAGTTTGCTCTACAATTTGAACACAAACCGCTACTCTTGAATCCTTTCTATTTAAAGAAACACTAAGTTCTAAACAATTGCTAACAAAGCAAGCTACCAGTATGGAACTATGATTTGTATTCATTGTCTCGGATATTATGCAATTTGTAAATCTTCTTGTCGACAGGCAAATATTCAATTATTTTCCCCCGCGCTTGATGAAAATGAGCAGTTGCTGTGGTGTTGTGAAGATCAATAGCCAGTAAGCACGTAAGCTGTGCAATGCCAATTAGAAAAAGAGGCCACACAGTTTTGCCTTTTTATATGGGAATTCTATTTCTCCTACTCACTGTTCCAAATGACAAGCATAGCAACTGTTAAATTAAGATATTCGAATTTCTAAATAATTATTTTATTTGTATGGCAGTTAGTCAAGAATCTAGGGTGGAGATGAGTCAAGATATATTTGAATGAGTATTCTGGAGCCCTTGGTTTGAAGAGAGAAATAAAAAATAGGTGTCGAATCTGGACTTTTAGAAGATGCAGGATAAAACCTGTGCTTGAAGAGACAGAAACAGCACTTGGTGTTTTAAGAATACATTGTAGAGTAGGGATTTTAACAGGGGACTACAAGATGAGAGCAAAAATGTTGAACTTTCTTTCCATCCCTGATTTAAAGAAAATCACATTCCTTGAGGACAATTAATTTTAGGTGGGGAAATGCCCCGGAGTGGTGTAATTTGCATGAAAATTGGAATTCCTCAAATTGATTTAGGAGATACCCAGGCTGAGAAAGAAGGCAGGGTCAAATGCTTCATCAGTTTAGGATTGCTACCCTCCTATCCCAAGTGCCAAATTTGCCTTGACTGTTAGATTAGATTCTTGTGTATAGGTGTTGTTATTAGTTGCAAATGTGTCTGACCCATCGTGACCCCATGGACAACGTTCCTCCAGGCCTTCCTGTCCTCTATCATCCTCTGGAGTCCATTTAAGCTCACGCCTACTGCTCCAGTGACTCCATCCAGTCACCTCATTCTCTTCTTCTTTTGCCCTCAATCTTTCCCAGCATTAGGCTCTTCTCCAGTGAGTCCTTCCTCCTCATTAGGTGACCAAAGTATTTGAGTTTCATCTTCAGGATCTGGCCTTCTCAAGACCAGTCAGGATTGATCTCCTCCAGGACTG